GAGACCTTCCACTAAACAATAAGAAAAGTAGGACAGTGACATCAACAGTGGATTTATAGGTTGCAATACCTTGAACTTACATACTGTAGATACCATCAAAAATTCAACTCACTGCTTTCAATCATAAATCAGAGGATGATTAATAAGGGAGTTCCTTTACAATTGATTCAAATTCTAAAGCAGCATCTCCTGATTAAACTAGTTTTAACTGAGAAAAAATATTCCTAGGAAAAAAATATAAGGTAGAAAGTGAGGGAAGAAGATAACATATACAGAGGTGAAAAATAGTTCAGAAAACATCACATCTGCAGAGGTGGAAATAAAAATCCAATGGATGCCGCAAGGTGATACTGAAACAATTTTCTGCTATGGAACTGGAGTAAAAGATTTCTTAGTAGTGAAGATATTTCCCAGGCTTCACAGGGTAAAAGCAGCTAGAACTTAACATAATCACACAATTATACCATTGTTGAGATAATCTTAACTTACCCAAAATTGTGATATAAAAATAAAAGAGATACTATGACTGAAAGAATAAAAAAAATGTGATCTGAGAGAGAAAAAGGAAACTAAATACTTTCCATTACTCGTGCCTCTTTAAGATTATTATTAATGGACTGCAACGTTTGCTATAAGCAAAGTAGTGAATGAAACTATTGTATAACAGACTGACGACTGAGTAATCAATAAAGAAAATAAGTTTATCATCTTATATTTTTATCAATTTTTGAGTTTATACTTGTTCTTTAAAAACCTGCATGTTCAAAATGCTAGTTTACATGGTGACATGTCTAATTATTATTTTTTTTTAGAACATGTCTAATTATTAATGAAAAAAGAATTCAGGAAAAATGTCTATGGCATGTTCAAGCATTTACTAGAAGAAATGTACATACATTTTCTTTTGCAACTGTTATGTAATTTCATATAAACATTTATTAAATAGTATGTAAATTCAAGGCAATACAACCTATAAATCCACTGCTAATGTTATTTAATCAATATAAAACAAATATTAAAAAAGCTATCAATGTTTGAAATTCAATGGATTTTATAATTCCACTATTTAGCAAGTCATTCAAATCTACCTCTTATTACATTTGCATATTAGCCTCAATGCAAATTAAACGTCTACAACACTTCCCCTTCTGTAAAGTCTCCTAATTCCTATTCTGATCAACCCTAATCCTTTACTTTCTTCTTATGTTCTCCATATACTTCCTTCCTTACAATATGTTACTGAACTTAACCAGTATTCATTTCATGTCCTATCTTTAATAGTGAACCATTATGACCCACCACTTGAATATTTTAAAAGTTACTCTTTTAGAATTCTTTGCCCCACTGACCTGCCATTCCTGACCTGCTAAATGTCATCTTTTGGTCACTTAATTCCTCTCTTCATGCTACAAGGATGCTAAGCTTCCCTGGAGATAGCCACAAAATGAAGTTGACTTCACCTTATTTAGATTCCTGACACAAATCCTCAGCTGAGCTATTACTGATGCATGGTAATCTTTCCACTTTGCCCTGTTGACTCATGTCTCTTTCGCCATACTGACTGTTCAGACATCTTTTTCTCTTCTTTTCTTCTGTGACCAGAATTGACAGAGAAGATGAAAATGCTGAGAACTCATGAGGAACAAAAGAGAGGACTAACATAGGATGGCTTTAATCTTTTCAGTGGAGTACAGGAGTAGATTATAGGTCTTCTTTTCTTTCTGAATAAGGTCAATCCTAGATACCTTTGATCTCACTTGAAATCTGCCATGTCTTCTAATAACTTGTTCTACTACTTTTTATTTGTTTTCTTTTTTGAGTATTAATTCCATTTTATTTTTTTAATCAGTGAAATTTTCTCCCTTTTCCTTAAATGAAAAGGAAAATTAAAAATGAAAGGAAATAAAAACAGTATTGCAAACATGGGGCAGTCAAATAAAATAAATGTCCACATTGGCTATGTCCAAAAGGAACATCACATGTATACATATATGAATGTATACACATATGCATATACACATATGCTTACATACCTAATATATATATAATTTTAAAGAAAAATGTGCAACTTGTATTTTACCGAATTAAGACAGAACTCGACAGTAAAATAAGTGGACAATACATGCAAACACACATTAGATAGATAGAGCTGTATCTATTTATATATCTATATGTATCTACCTATATCTATCATCCATCCATCTATCCATCCACCTATCTATCTATCTATTTATCTATCTATCTGTTTATATGTATTTCTCTAGCATCATAATCAGTATGAGGCAACAACATTTAAACACAATTCAGGCTATATTCAGAATATTTGCTTCTATATACACTTTTAAAAAATTAAATACAAGCTGAACCATATTTCTTGTTAACATATATACAAAAGAAAAACTATGTAAAGCAGAAAGATTTCTTTTAAACCATAGCATTTAAGTTGAAAAGTTACCATTTCCAATGAATCAAATTTTTATTAACCCTGCAGAAAATCCTTCTTTACCAATTTCTTCTTTTTCTTGCCTGTCTTTGCTGTAAAACATTTTGATATTCTCCATTTTCACATCCTTATTAGGGAATGAGTTTGGATAGAGGGCAGGGCTCCCTGAAAGTACTATACATCTGCTTGTATTAATGTTATATTACATATATATGGCTTATTCTAGTCTCTTACTTCTTCATTAGGAAGTGGATAGCATGTGTCATCATTAATCCTCTGGAATTGTGTTTAGTTATTATACTAAGCAGAATTCTTAGGTCCTGTTCCCCTCCCTTTTCATTCTTCTTTTAAGATCATTAAGATAGAACCACTCTCAAGCTATCTGTCTAATTGCTTTTGTTGAATCATTCATCTATGTCTAACTCAAAACCTGGTGGACCATATCACACCAATACTCCCCATGGGGTTTTCTTGGCAAAGATATTGGAGTGGTTTGCCATTTCCTTCTCCAGTGGATTAAGGCAAACCGTGGTTAAGTAACTTGCCCAGGAGTCATATAGTAAGTGTCTGAGGCTGGATTTGAACTTAGATCTTCCTTCCGAGGCTTTTTCCACTGAGCCACCTAGCTGCCTCCAAGGCAAACAGAGGTTAAGTCACTTGTCCAAGATCACAGTGTTGAGACTGGATTTGAATTCAGGTCTTTCTGACTTCAGGTGTGGCACTCTATACACTGTACCACCTAGCTGCCCATAAAAGATATTGGGTTGGAGTAAAGTTTAGGTCAAAGTTCATGTCAATTACTTATGTGTAGTTGCTGCTGGACTTGGCCAGTATTCTCCAGTTGGACAGCTCTCCTGGGCCAGAGTGACATAACTGAAGGTTTCTCTATGATCTGGGATTAGTCAGTCAATAAATAATCAATAAGCATTTATTATGCACCTAATATGTGCCAGATACTGTGCTCAACACTGGGAATACAAAGAAAGGTAAAAAAAAAAATAGTTCCTGCTCTTCAGGAGCTCACAGTCTCATGGGGAGATAATATGCAAGCAGCTATGTACAAACAAGCTATGCATAGTATATATTGTAAATAAGGGGGATCAGGAAAGCCTTCCTGTGGAAGATGGAATTGTAGCTGGGGTCTTGTTCATATCAAATAGGATTCTTTTAGGTTAATTTGTGTTACAGAAATGCCATCTACTTCTATCATTAATTTGGAACCAAAAACAGATTTTTTTTTTTTAAGACAACTTGGATCAGATGTTTACTTGACAGGTACAAAGAAGTCATTTCCTGGAGATAGAATTTCAATTTTTTATGACTTTGCTATATAGAGATTCCCTTTTAAGGATTAACCAGTAATGCTGCCAGCAATAAAATTACAGTGATGTTTAAGATTCATCTGCACATATCTAGACTTAATGTATACTTTATCAAATAGTTTCAGTGTTATGTTTTCAGGCGTATGCACATTTAGTTAATGAGTACCCAAAGATCCTGGAATGTGATCCCATAAAGTCTGCACCAACAGAACTCAAGTTCTGGAGGGTTTATCACAGAATCATGAAATCATAAAATTTCAGAGTTGGGAGTGGCATTAGTGTCCATGAAGATTGTTCAAGCTATACCGGAAAAATAATCTGTGCTACAACACACCCAAGAAGTGGTTGTCCATCCTTTGCTTAAAACTTTTTAGCAAGGGTACACTCACCGACTCAGGAGAAAATCCATTATGCTTGTGAGTAGCTCTGATTGCTAGGATGTGTTGTGTTTTTCTCTGCTTTCTTCGCATCAAGGCCGAATTTGCATTTCTAGTACTTCCAACCATTGATATAGTTTCTGATAGCTGGAAGTAGAATAAGTCTTCAAATCTTTGTGGAGAGTAATTATGCACCTCCTGACTCATCTCTTCTTCAGGCTAAACATTCCCCAGTTCCTTCAGTAATTTTCCTATTCTGGTTGCCCTCTCTGTATACTCTCTAGCTTCTGTTAATATCCTTACTAAAATGTGATGCATGGAACTGAACTCAGTACTCCAGATCTTGTTTGATTAGTATAGGATATAAACAGGTAATCATTCTCTTATTCCTGAAAGCAATACCTCTCAATACTGTACAGCATTGAATTACCTTTTTTGACTGGCATCATATTGTAAATGCATATGGACCAGTCCCAGCAAACAATAAGTCTGATGTTTGGAGACGAACTAAACTGTATAGAGAACCTTATCACCAGTAGATTGGTCAGCGGGTGATTAATCCTTTGGCCACTGCAAACTACCAAAAAATCATAAACCTCTTTGGAACTGGCAATATATAGAGTTAGATTTCAGTTCACAGTATTTCAGAACAAGGGTGACAGTGAAATTCCAAGTAATAAAATGTAGAGAAATATATCTTAATTTGTCAATTATCCACGGTGACTAAGGTAGAAATGACAAAATCCAAAACATTTAAATTAGCATCATTTATCTTACTTAGAGACTGTCAAAAAGTAATATGAGAACCATGATTACCTTGCACAGTATTCAAGGGATGGAACAAGGTGACCTACTCACTTGCCATTTAATGCTGCCACACCAACTGTACTCCGAGCTATTGACATACTTGCTACAAATGTCCACTGCTGGCTTTGTGGATCCCACCTCTCCACTGTGTTCAGGTAGCTCCAGCCATCATGGCCTCCAACGGCATAAATTGGGCCTTCAAGTACTGTCACACCTAACAGGAAGAAAAGGCATAAATTCATGGAATGATTTATCGGTATAGATAATTCTATACTATCCACATACAAAGTACAAATACATGTGAATATGTGTGCATAAATATATACTTGAATACACATAGGTATGCATATATAGAAAACATATTAATATGTACACACATGCATACACACACCCATCTAATACTCTTAGTATAAACTGCTGATATGAAAAAAATAAGTACACAGGGAATAATGCAGAACATGCTATAACATGTTCTGAATTGAATAGTCTCATTTAAATGAATATTAATTATATTAAAGAAAAATAATAAATACAATATTAGATATGCCTTACAATAAGATACTAATTTTTTAGGTTAGCTATAATAGAATTGTTTGATAGAGCTAATAACCTCATGGTTCTTTGATCTCACTTACTTTTATCTGCCATGCAAATTGTTGTTCCATGGGAATAGATACAAAGAATGGCATTACTTGTTGGAGCTTAAGTGAGAGATATCATAAATAAGTTATAGTTTGATGCAGTCATCTTAGAAACAATAAAAAAGAAATACTGTGTGACTATCTCAAGGACTTACATAAACATACACTTAGAATATTTTAGCAACATTTCAGATGAATTCAAAAGATAAGGCCACATATGGAATCTTGTTTTCAAGTAGACATTAACAAATAAAATCAAACCAATAGGTTTGTTGTTACTAGGAAATAACTACTTTCAAAATTTTAGTTATATTCTTTTTTGTTGTATAGATACACTGTTTTCAGATTAAATTATGGTAAGTGCTTCAAACCCTAGAAAAATTAGAGCTTCATAAATGAAATCCATAATAACTAAAAAAGTGGGAATAATTGTACATAGGAAAAAAATGGATGAAGAATGTCTTCTGTCCAAACTATGATATGCATATGGATAAACCATCTCTTAAGCTTTTCTATTAGTACATTTATCTCGGACAGTCACTGCAAAATGATAATGAGACTATGATAATGAATGAGTGATGAGAGTAATAGGAGGAGAAGAGTGTGAAAGATTGCGTTGGGAAATTATTCACCGCTTTCAATGACTGTATAATCTGTGACCCAGTGCCCACCAAGACTATAGGTTCAAACCCATTAGGTTCGATACTAAAAACTGACCCACCAAAGGTCATTATCTCTCCTTGACTTGTTATTCTTACCTGGACCTCATGTCTGTTTCACTTACTGTTGGTTAAAAAAAAAGGCTTAAGGTGCTGAGTGAGCATTCAAGGTAAGAAGGTAATACATGCAAATCAGGCTCCAGGATAGATTTTATTTCATTCCCATAGAAAAGGCAGATAACATAAAGACTCATAGGAAGTCATGAAAAGATAGATACACAAAACCCTGAAAAAGCCCATCAGATCCTGCCGGAAGGGACATTAACTAGGAGTTACTTATTAGGACAATCAGTCCCTGTCATTCTGATGAGTCCCTTCACAATACTCAGTTCCACTTTCTGATTTAGAATATTCTACCCTGGAAAGCAAACCTATTTTGAGTTAATGGAGGAAGAGGGACAGGCAACTTTCTAAAGCTTAAAAATGGAAATAACCATGAAGATTGACTTGTCAATGGAAATCACTAAATTCATGGGATCACAGAATCATAGATAAGAACTGGACCATACCAAATAAGAAGAAAACTGAGGCTCAGAGTGGTTAAATTACTTGCCCAGTGTTACCCAGGTAATAGGTGCCAGGGGCAGGATTCAATCCTAGGTTCTCTGATTACAAATTAAGTCTTCTTTCTTCTATACCATCCTGCCTCTCATTTTCCTGGAACTTATATATTGATCGCCTTTATATAGTGTTTTCAGGTCTGTAAAGTCCTTCATAGACCTTCTCTCATCTGATTCTTACAATAACCCTGTGAGGTGTGTATTACAGACACAGGTATTTTAATTCTTATTTTAGAGATAAGGCAATAGAGGTTAAGAAATTTTTCAATGATCATGTAGTAAGTAAATGTGGCATTCAAACCCAAGCTTCCCTTAAATTTCAGGTCTGGACTCATTTCTAGAGTAGCACATTGCCTCATTTAATCAACAGGTCACATGATTCTAACATATCTGTTTCTGGTAGAATATTAATGGGTTACTTGGCAGTTTTGCATTTAACTAAGAAAAACAAAATGTACCAACAATAGTATCTACATATGTACTTGCCAGTGTGTTTAGAAAGATTATGCTGGTAATTTAAAGTGTTTATTCAAAATCTCACAAGGGATTCCAGCTCAGCAATCTAGGTTATGAATTAAGTTAGATATAATTTTCAATTGACTCCTAATACAGATACAACTAGTATTACAACGATTATGATCGACCGAAAGTGGAGATACTTGTCAATTTATTATGTTTCATCAGGCACATGTTTTTCCAAAGTTAGTTTGCTAATGGTGAGTGGACCATCCATTCAAATATTGTCTTTTTTTTTTTTTTTTTTTGGTGAGAGCAATTGGGGTTAAGTGACTTGCCCAGGGTCACACAGCTAGTGAGTGTTATGTGTCTCAGGCTGGATTTGAACTCAGGTCCTCCTGACTCCAGGACCAGTGCTGTATCCACTGCGCCACCTATCTGCCCCTTTTAGAGACTTTCTTTTTCTTTTTCTTTTTCTTTTCTTTCTTTCTTTCTTTTTTTTCTTCCAAGTACTATCAATAGCACATAGGACATTGTTACGTTATTGGAAAGTAGAGAAGTTGTTTGTACACATTCTAATAGACCACTGTGGCTGGAGCTTGTATTTGAAACATTTTTAGAACTCATAAAGAAAACAAACCAAAAAGAAACATGATTAACAACAGAAATCTTGGGTTTAGAGTCGCAAAGACCCGAGTTCAAATACAACTTTAGACACCAGCTTTGTGACCTTGGGCAATTCAATTAACCTTTGTCTGCATCAGTTTCTGCATCTATGAAATGGGGTTAATAATAGTACCAGCTTCACAGGGTCATTGTGAGAATCAAATGAGATATTTGCAAAGTGCCTGGCATAAAAATTCTATATAAATGCTTATTTCCTCCCTTTTCCTCCCACTTATGCCCTTCTCCCAAACCTACAAATATGAATTCCAAGAAATACTACATTCTTCTCGTATGTACCAATAAAAAATCATGATGAAGATGTTGTTGTTCAGTTGTGTTAGACACTTCATGATCCCATTTGGGCTTTTTTTGGCAAAGATATTAGAGTAGTTTGCCATTTCCTTCTCCATCTCATTTTACGGATGAGGAAACTGAGGCAAATAGGGATTAAGTGACTCCAGGCCCTGTTTCTATCCACTGTACCACTTAACTGCCCCTTTCGTGATGAAATGTTATTGTTATTTTGGAGAAGGAAATGGCAAGCCACTCCAATTATTGCCAAGAAAACCCCAAATGGAGTCACAAAGAGTCAGAAGGACATGACTGAAATGACTGAACTATGGGGGCAGCTAGGTGGCACGGTGGATAGAGCACCAGCCCTGGAGTCAGGAGGACCTGAGTTCAAATCCAACCTCAGACACATAACACTTACTTTGTGTGACGCTGGGCAAGCCACTTAACTCCATTGCCTAGCCAGAAAAAAAAAAAAAAAGAAATGACTCAACAACAGCAACAGGGCTCTGTCCCAGTCCCTTTCCTCTTCCCTCTTTCTGTTATTTCATTTGATAATCTCATCAGCTCCCATGGTTTCATTTATCATCTCTTTGATGATGATTCACAGATTTACTTATCCAATCATAACCTCCTTTATAACCTGCACACTCACATTTCCAACTATTAGACATCTCAAACTCAATGTTCCTTTACATCTTAAACTAAGCATGTCCAAAACTGAATTTATTATCTTTTTTTTTCCTTGAAATTTTCCCTACATCTGTACTTTGCTATTACTACAGAAGGCACCACCTTCCTCCCAATCCCCCAGGCTTCCAGTCACCAAGGCTCCCAATGTAAGGGAGGCTCCCAATTTAAGGTGCACCATGACTTCTTACTGTCTCTCAAGACTCCCCTCCCCATATCCAATCTCTTACCAAGTCCTGTCATTCCTACCTTCGTGGCATCACTTGTATATGCCCCATTCTCTTCTTCAACAGTGACACCATCCTGGTGCTAGCCCTCTTTACCATATGCCTGTATTTCTGTTTTAGTTCGATGGCTAGTCTCCCTGCCTCAACTATCTCCCTACTCCAGCCCATCCTCTCTATTTGGCCGTGAAATTCCTAAAGCACAAATCTAACCACATCAACCCCTCCTCTCATTCAATCAACTCTAGTGGTTCCCTATCACCTCCAGGGTCAAATGTAATATCATCTGTTTGACATTCAAAGACCTTCACAACCAGATTCCCATTCTACCTTTCCAGTCTTCTTACATCTTACTTGCCACCACTTACCCTGTGCCTTCTTGCTGTTCCATGAACAAGATACTCCATCTCCAGACTCCAGGGTTTTTCACTGGCTGTTCCCCCATATTAGAATACTTTCTCTTTATCCCTACCTCCTGGCTTCCTTCAAGTCCCAGTTAAAATCCCATCCACTGTGAGAAGTCTTTCTTAATCTCTCTTAATGCTAATGTTTTCATTCTGAGATTATTTCCAATTTATTCTGTATTTATTTTATTTGTATATAGTTGTTTTTATGTTTTCTCCTCCATTAGACTATGAATTCCTTGAGAGCAAGGATTGTCTTTTACTTTTCTTTGTATCTTTTATCACTTAGCACAATGCCTGGCATCTAGTAGGCACTTGATAGTTTATTATTGATTCACTAATATTTTAATGATTATATCATCTTTTTATTTGAGAAAATTAATTGTCATTTATAGGTTTTTTTGGTTACTTAATTAACAGCATAGTCTGCCTCAAATATTTATAGTTGTGTAAATCAGAATCTAAATTCATTCATCTTGGGAAAGGGGAAAATAGTATGCTTTGAAACACAGGAATAGGAAATCTGCATTTTTTTTTCTGCATATCATTATAATCTCTTTCTT